GGGGATTGAACTCAGGCCCTTGCACTTGCCAGGAAAGCACTTATTCTACTGAGCCTTCTCCCAGGCCCCCTGAAGAACATTTCTTGACACTGTAATGTTAATGGATATGCATTCAGTATTAGATTTTCTTAATTGAATGCTTTTTTGATGTTTCTACATGTATCTCTCTTCTAGTTTCCGGATAGAGAATTTCTCTTGCGCGTGTCTTACATGGAGATATACAATGAAACCATTACAGATTTACTCTGCAGTGCTCAAAAAATGAAACCTCTGATAATTCGAGAAGACATCAATGTAAGTGATGGAGTTAAGGCAGCTGTGAAACAGACTCTTCTTGGTATTGTTCTGCATAATTTAAGTGTTTATAGAGCTGTCTTTAATATGTACAATCTTAAAGTACAGCTGTAGTATTTTGGTTGAAGTGCTTAACAACAGCAAGATGGGGGGCCAAGGAGATGGCTCAGTGGAATAAGCGCCTCCCTAGCAGGCGCAAGGGCCTGAATTCAATCCCTGGTTCTGCCAAAAAAAAAAAAAATAGCAAGATGGAAAGATCAGGCTGGGATTTGGTGTGCTTCAACACAGGCAGTAGATTGTAGGTGTTCATAAAATTGCTTCCTCTTTTCCCACAGAATGGTGATTCCACATTTTAACTTCCATAAATGAATTCTGTAATGGCTTGTGTCTTCTTTTTGAAAGGTATATTTCCTTGACTGTTTCTCTAAATTTTCCATAATTAAACTGGTTAACTCTGGTTTCAGAGGAATGTGTACGTGGCTGATCTCACAGAAGAAGTGGTCTATACTTCAGAAATGGCTTTGAACTGGATCACGAAGGGAGAAAGTAAGACTGTATTGTAGTTCTTTTCTTTAACACACTTATAACAACTCTTCTCAATCTTTTTTCCATTGTTAAATTCAAGTAAAATAGACATCAAGTCACATTTGTTATTTGGCTAGAGTAAAAATTAAAGTTTTTCTTAGAACACAGTATTTATAGTTGAAATATAACTCATTTTACAGAGAACAGACATTATGGAATAACAAAAATGAATCAAAGAAGCAGTCGTTCACATACCATTTTCAGGATGGTAAGTAGTTACCCTTTCTACCTCTGATCTTTCTGAGAAAGCACATACACTAATTTTCATACAAATTGCCCTTTCTGCCTAGATTTTGGAAAGCAGAGAGAAAGGTGAGCCTTCTAGTTGTGAGGGCTCTATCAAGGTATCCCATTTGGTAAGTACTCCTGAACCCTAATTTGGCACCACCTGGCCATAGCAGACTTTAACTTAAGTGTTGCATGTTTGCTTTAATAAGAATTGTTAATTAAATAGGAAAAGCATCATAAATTAGCAATCCACTGGTCTCATCAGTAGTATCAGATTACTAGCTGAAATGTTGTAGAAAGAATTGGGGATTTTCTTCCTGTTAGGTCGCAACTGCTATCTCCTAAATTATAGACATAAAGACTATGAGAGGTTAGGCTTTTCTAATCACCAGTAAAATAGGATAAGTAATCTTAAATTGTAAGGCTTTTTTTATTCAGCTAGTATAATTTAGCCTTGTGTGATCAACAAAACCTTTAGGTAGACTGGCTAAAACATAAATCGCATTATGTAAGTTTTTTCTTTTTTATTTAGTTATTTTTTTTTTTTTTAGGAGAGTAACAATGGTTAATACATTATGTATTGTTACTGCCAAAGTAGTTTCTCATATTACAAGATATAGGCAAGAAATAATAAATAAACAACATAGGTACAAACCTCTGTTCTTTTTTTTTAAAGTCAACAGAAAATAGAAATATACTTTTTAAAGTTTCTAATACTACGAGAAGATATCATACAATGTCTTTTAAATAAATTGTAAGTCAAAGATACAGTATAAATCTTACAACAAAAATTCAGATTAAGCAATATTCAGAAAATTAAATGTTTCAAAACAATTGAACTAAGAAAAAGTTTTCATGATAGCAAAGACATACTAAGAGTAAAACATAAGATAAATACTGGAATGGCAAATAAATGACCAGCAATTCTCACAGTTTGAGGATAGGATATCCCACAAAGTTCTAGTGTGTTGTGGACATGCAGAATGACCGTGACAGTTACCGGTGGCTAGGCGTCACTTGTGGAAGTGAGCTACAGCTATTTCTTTGAAATCCACCCTGTAGACTCAGGTGGAATCATGACTCATAGGATGGAAGAGAAGTCCATTTGTAGGGTGTTCTGATGAAAATATTCTGCTGCTGAACACAAAAGAATAATTAAAGACTATTATTGTATACCTCTTATTCTCCTCTATTTAATTGTTTGCCCTATTTGGCGGGTTCTTTCTGTTCTCATTCATGGGGCTGTGATCAATTTGCTCCCTCTCTAGAACATCAGTTAGTAGTCTGTGTAGGCTTGGCTTTGTCATCATGAAATTCCTTAGTTGTTCTTTGTCATGAAAATATTTCACTTCTCCATTATATTTGAAAGAGAGTTTTGCAGGATAGATCAATCTGGGTTGGAATTTGTTTTCTTGCAAGACTTGAAGTACTTTGCTCCATGCTCTTCTTGACTTGATGGTTTGTGAAGAGAAATCTGCCGTTATTCTGATGGGTTTTCCTTTAAATGTGATCTGTTTCTTTTCTTTAGCAGCTTTTAGTATACCGTTCCTATGCTGAATTTCTGGAATCTTGATTATTATGTGTCTGGGTGTGGTTTTCATTGGATTGATACTATTTGGAGTTCTATATGCTTCAGTTACAGGAATGTCAGATTGTTGCCCCATATTTGGGAAGTTTTCTGCTATTACTTCTGCCCATATTCTTTTTGTATCATTTGTATTGACTCCTTCCTTCTCATTGATGCCTATCAGTCTCACATTGTTCATCTTTGCATCGTCTTGCAGGTATTGAATTATTTTTTCCTGCATCCTAGTTGTTTTAAAGAGATCTTTTCTTACTTTTTCACTAGCCACAATGGTGTCTTTCAGGTCAGAAAGTCTATTTTCACTTTCACGCAAACAGTTTTGCCAGCTTGTGATTGAGATTTTAATTTCCTGTATATCACTTTGAACCTGTTTCATACATTCTGTTTCTTTCCTAAATTGTTTATTCAGGCATTCCATCATTTTTATATTCTCCTCTATTTTTTTATCAGTGTATTCTTTAGAAGCACTTAGTACTCCTTTGATTATAGTTACCACTACATTTTTTAGTTCCGAAATTATTTCTGATCTGATTTCTTCTATACCTTTCTGCGGTTGATTCTTTACTGTCAATGCTATTATTTCAGAGATATCTGGTGTGTGATTTCCAGTTTCCTCAGTGCTAGTGTCTTCTGCATTTGCACTGGGTGGACTCTGGGCCTGAGACTGCATTTTTTTCCTTCTCTTTGTCATTTTGTATACCACTGTCTTCTGACCTTTGGTGTAGAGCTTAGATAAAGTTATTACCTTAGCACCAGGTCCGGATCTATGAAGTTCAGATTCCTCCAGGTGGATGTTGTTTGGTTTTGACTATGTGCTCCACTTCTTTCTGCTGCAGGCGTTAGAGTTGAACCCTTTGTATCTGTTTGGGAAGATGTTCTGCTCCTGAATCAGCTGGGTGGGTCTTGCCTTTAGCTTCTTTGCAGGGAGTTCTGCTGAAGGGTTCCCTGCTGGGCCTGCGCTCTGGATCTATTCAGGATCCGGAGGACCCCAGGTCGTCTCACTCACTCGCAGGGCCTGCGCTCTGAGTCTATTCAGGATCTGGAGGGCCCCAGGTCGTCTCACTCACTCGCCGGGCTTGCGCTCTGGGTCTGTTCAGGATCCCACGACCCCTGTCGGGCCTGCGCTCTGGGTCTATTCAGGATCCGTAGGGCCCCAGTCATCTCACCCACTCGCCAGGCCTGCACTCTGGATCTGTTCAGGATCCTGCGGCCTCGGTCGGGCCTGCGCTCTGGGTCTGTTCAGGATCCGGAGGGCCCTAAGGTTTTTCTTAAGAACAGTAAGAAGAAACTTGTGTCACAGATGTTCTCTTTTGTCGCCCTGGCATGTGCTCTCCAGCTGCTCTGTCACCGAGCTGCTCCCCCGCCCAAGGGCAAGGCTGTATACCCCAGCCCCTTGGGTGATGTCACTTCACCCTCCCACAAGACCTGCAGTCCAACTCTGTACACATATCCTGAATGTGTGTGCTAACATCACTCAGCCCACCCCTCCTGCTTTGTGGCCTCCAATTCCCCTCCTGGAGCACTGTCACTGTTGTCCCTTGCTTGCTCTTCCTGTCGCTTCCCAACATTAATCTAGTCCCCATCCTTGGATCAGATTCTTCAGCTTGGTGTGAGATTTGATTTAAGGTTGTCCTACTTGCTTTGAAAACCTTGGGGAAAATTTGAATCTGTAACACATTTATTCATTTTCAGATTTTGTAAAATCAGTTTTTAATTAATATGCATTCCTTTACCTTTTTTTGCTATAAAAGTACATCATTTAGGGGCCAGGGAGATGGCTTGGTAGAATAAGCGTTTCCCTAAGGCTGGGGTTCCACAAAAAAAAAAAGTACATCAATTATCTTAGTCCACTTTAATATTGTTTTAACTTCAAAACAACAAAAGAAAACCAAATTTGTTTTATAATTCTGGCCTGTGATACTTCACTATAGTTTCAACTTTCTCTTAATAATTTAAATTTAATACTCAATTATTCAGTGAGTTATGTGATGATTTCTCTCATTGTCCTCTGCTCTGTCCTCAGTGATCTTTTTAGAGAACTTCGGCCAAACTTTTGGTTTGCCCAGCTGTGGAAATCTTTGTGAAGCCCTGTTCAGCCTATAAAGCGGCCCTTCTGGTGTCCTCTGGCCTTGGAGGGGTGCCCAGTGTCCAGCTTCCCGAGTCTCTGTTCCTCCTCCACTCTCTGTCTTCATTTCTGCTTCCTCGTAGTGGGCTCTCAGAGTGCTCTGTGGCCTTCCCACCTCAGGTTCTTGCTCTCAGGCCTTGGGTCATCATTGTCATGCTGATGACCGCCAGATATTTATATCTTCTACAATCTCTAGGGTCAAATTCATCTCTCTGAAGACTGCTAGAGTTTCATATCCCACTATCATCTCAAGCTCCAATCTATCTAAAGCCAGATTTCTTCCTCCCCTGATGACTGTTCGTGTCTTTCAGTAAGCCAACATCCTTCTGCCACACAGGCAGGACACCCATGAGAGCTGTGGCCTTGTTTTCCTTTCTTCTCTTTGTTTGTCTCATGCATTTCTGTGAGTGTAGCCTCCTTTAGACCCTCACTTCCCTACCATCACTGCCTCTGTCTCTGAACCTGTCCCCCAGCAAGCACTCTGCTCGTCCTTTCTTCAGGCTGTCATACAAGTTTTTAATACCCCGACCACACTTTGGTGATGTCACCTTCCAGGACAAGACCGAGTGGGCGTCAGCAGGCCGACTCAGTTCCCTCTGCTCTACAAGAGGAGTTCCCAACCCCTTGTGCCATCCCACCCATACCCACACAGTCTTCACCACTACTGTACCCTTTCATTGCATGTATAAGTCTAGAGTTGATGCTGGGCAAAAGACTAGATTCTTTCTGTGTGCAAGCAAAGGAGCCCTCAAGGAAAGAGCTGAAGCACGAATATGTAATTACCTGCTGAAAGATCCCCCAGAGAAGGAACTAGCAGTCCAGTTTCCTTCAGTGCTCTCAGAACATGTACCAGCACTTTCCCCTGTTGTGAGCTGGGCCCAGTGCTTAGCACATAAAAGGTGCCTTGTCCTCCCACTGGGAACCTCTGGGCACCTCCTCTGCACCATGCTGCCCCATACTCCACATCCTACACAGCCTTCTGTGTGGCTGCCTGCTTCCCAGGGCACAGCTAAGCCATAGACATTCATGTTAGGCATGTCTCTGTCCCTGCATGAGGTCCCCAGGCCAGAGCTTCCTTCCATTGCATTTAGGGAAATCCAGATTTCTCCGTCACCTGGGTTTGTCCCAGCTTCTGCTCACTGTGTCACACTGCCCTTTATGTCTTTGAACACACAGCGCTCTACTTTGAGACCCTATTCTTTCTGAGTAGTTTGCCTTAGTCTTTGCATAACTAGCTTCTTCCCTGTCCTTCAAATCTTAGTTTAAGCATAAAGCCTTTTTGGCACCCAGCTCAAAAAATGTTCTGTCCCTCCCAGCTGTCTGTTCAGATAATCTCCATTACACTTGTCACAGCCCTTCTTCCTGTGCCCTCTCCTCTCCACAGCCTCTGCTGAGTAGGGCCTGCAGGACTGGAGAGCAGAGACCCCATGCCTCTGGCTCTCCACTGTTACCCCAGAACCTGACACACTGTCTGGAGTGTGATGGGCAGTCACTTATGTTCCTTATTATTGTTGAAATGAGAGGTCTTTGCATGTAAAGTGCGATGGTGTAGTCAAGACCATGTACAACCAGCCCAACAGATCAGTGCTCTGAGAAAAAGTCACCTCCATGAAGAGCTCTGGTGATCAGTGGGAGGAATGATTGGCTCAAGAATGGAAGGAAGGAAGGAGTTGGCAGAGCCACACTGGGCAGGCGCCCTTTGCCCTGGCCATTGAGTGGAGCAAAGGCAGACTGGAGCTTGGAACCACGGAAGCAACAGCAAAACCTGCTGCCACCATTACCAGGTTATAAAGGCTCATGTCTGCCGTGATGAAGGCCTGGACTCTTCAGGAACAACCTACACTGGGAGCATCGTACAGTGTATCCTAAAGAAGAGAGAATATGTGTAGAGATGAGGGGAAGGAGGTACCAGAGCACCTCCTGGGGTGGGAGCCAGGACCCAGGCAGAACACATAGATAGGCCATGTACTAAAAATATTCTTTCAGTAGCTTGGAAAGTATTATAGAAATTACCATCTTAACAGTTTGCTTTCATTCTACAGAATTTGGTTGACCTTGCAGGCAGTGAAAGAGCTGCTCAAACAGGAGCTGAAGGTAAACAGAACTCACAAAACACATTAGTCTATATGTCTTCCTGTTGGATGGCAAAAAACATGATACTGAGTGTGTTCAAAACTAGTACAGTGGGCTGGGGAGCGAGCTTGGGGGTGTAAGTGCCTGCCTGGCAAGCACAAGGACCCGGGTTCAATCCCTGGTACCACATGCTGTGCCGGTCCCAGAACCGGGCATGGTGGCACATGCCTGTAATCCCAGTGCTGGGGAGGCTGAGATAGGATCACTACAAGTCTGAGCATCATAGCCAGACCCTGTACCAAATAAATAAGTTAAATTAAAATTAAAAATATTTTTTAAAAAACTAGTAAAATGTTACAAATTTCCAATAAAATTCTATCATAAACACCAGCATCTGTATCTAATTTACCTGGGGCTATTCTAGCATCTGTTGAACTAAAATTATGCATTTGAGAGGACTGTATAGCTGGGAAGCCCAGAGTCCCAGAGAAACAGTCAAAGTTTCCTTCCTATTGGTGAGAGACTAAGTAGTGGGAGGCATCTTTTCAGCCCTAATGTTCTGATTTTAAGGTCCTTCCCCCATGTACATGACCTTCTTGACGCCTTAGCTGTCTCTAAAGGTACAACCTGATTCCCGTGAAGACACTAGGTGACTGATAGGCAGCAAAACAATGGCTGGAATCCTGTGGCTGCCTGTATTTAATGATTCGGGAAAAAGAAGATCTAAACTAAGGAGTTATAAGAGGAGCTCTGTAGGGAAACAGGCTTTCCCTCCCTCCCTCTCCCATTTCTCTCAGGCCAGGACCTTCCTGGTTCACAGAAGAGGAACAGGAAGTGAGCTCCTGCCAGTTATACTAACCAGGGGCCCAGGTCCAACCCAAAACAAACACTGTCCCATCTCAGCCAAAATGTGTAATTTCTCTTAAAACTTCATAAATAAGTTTATCATCTCATGCAGTATAGTTGGTTTTCATATTTGTGTAATATATTCAGGTGTGCGACTCAAGGAAGGCTGTAATATAAATCGAAGCTTATTTATTTTGGGACAAGTGATCAAGAAACTAAGCGATGGACAGATTGGGTAAGTTTATCCCTTGGGCCTATTGCTTACGTTTGTTAGGGGGTAAAAAATTAACACTCGAGTATTTTCTGTCACAACACAAAAGCTTTGTAATTCTGAGCACAGCTTCTTGACTGTACCCTACTGAATTTACTATTTTAAATATTTTTCATTGCTTTCATTTGTCTCATAAGTTGTAAACAGTTAGTTTTTAAAATTGACTAAGTGCTGTGCACTAATGCCCAACCACTTTTGTTATGTAAAATTCTCAATTCTCTGTCTCCCCTAACTCTTTGCATGCTAAGTGGTTTCATCAATTATCGAGATAGCAAATTAACACGAATTCTCCAGAATTCCTTGGGAGGAAATGCAAAGACACGTATCATCTGCACAGTCACACCAGCATCTTTTGATGAAACCCTGACCACTCTGCAGGTGAGTTTGATTTGCATCTCAGCCCAGTATGGCTCAAGAGCAGCTTCAAAGATCACCAATGTAAATTAGATATCATTTCTTTAATTAACATTGACACGCCTGTGATAGTAAACTTGGTGCATTGTCTATGGAATAGCATTCCTTAATCTAATTTTCTTAGACATGAGTCATTTGAATAGGTCTCCATATTTTTTTACCATAACTCATATTTTATGTTCAGTTTATAATAAAAACAAACTTTATATCCACAGAAATAAAAAAACTCATATAACTTGCCACAAATAGGAAATATCAAAATGAGATATATATTTTATAGTTCTTAAATTTCTGCTGGCTAATGGGTCCCTGCCTTTATTTTGAGCCTGTTTTGTGTTTTCTGTTTATTAAAAAAAAAAAGCAGGGGCAGGGGACTAAAGCTCAGTAGAATAGCTTTGCCAGTGAAGGGTCCAGTGTTACTTGAAGGTCACCTCCTTCACCTGCCACTTAAAGTGGGTCTGGTGCTCAGGCTTTGGGGACATGCTGATCAGAAACAGAGCTCTGGATTAAGGTGCCCTCAGCACTGCCAAGATGGAAAGTCAGGTCCATGGTGGGAGACTCATCCTCCAGCAGGACCACTGTGGAGCAGAGGTGAAGCAGGACGGAGCTCAGAGGTGAGGAAGTGGACCCCCGGAGTAGGGCAAGAGCCCTGGGGTGGACAGGACGCCACAGAGCAGTGCGTGGGGTTATATTATCTAAGAGGGGTCTCAACTCCTGAAGACCATGGGGCAGGCTCAGTGGGTTGCAGAGTCATTAGAAACGTCAAAGTCTTGCTGTAGTCAGACTTGTTAATACTGCTGACTCACTGTCAGCAGTATTATTGTTTCATTTAGTTTTGTTTTTAAAGACAATTTGTTACAAGAAACCTAAGCATTATTCCATTTTTAGTTTTGAACATGTTATACTTTTACATGCTTTTCCCAGTTTGCTAGCACTGCGAAATACATGAAGAACACTCCTTATGTCAACGAGGTATCAAGTGATGAAGCGCTTCTCAAAAGATACAGAAAAGAAATAGTGGACCTCAAAAAGCAATTAGAGGAGGTGAGCATGAATGCTTTATTTTAATAGAGATTAATTTTGAGTGATGGAGATCTGCCCACAGAGTCAGTTCAGGGATATCTGAGTTGCTACAACTTAAATTTAAAACAAATGAGTTTTAGCTACAAAGAAATAATTCAAAACTATTTAGTTTACTATATGAACTCAAAGACTGGATTTCTTGAATTTATTTTTGTTCTTTATTTCCCAAGGGCAAGATTTGAAATTTTTAATTTCACAAGTATATATTGAGTTAGTTTAGAAAGAAACATTGTGTAGTTATTGAAAACAACCTTCTATTTCTTCACTTTCCCTGAATTCCTCTCCTGACCCTAAGACGGTAATGTAATCAGATAGCATAGTCCTGCCATTCTCAGTGGTTTATCTCATCATCATGGAGTTTGTACAAATCTTTCATTTTATTGGACTTCTTAAAAGTGAGCTAAAACATCATAGTCTGATAAGACAGCAACATCTCTATCTTTGTCTTTGGTATTCCAACCTTGGCTCTCTTGATTTCTCAGCCAGTGGTTCATGTTTGGCAGACCATTAATAGAGTTGTCTTAATAGCATTATTGTTAGGGCCGCCAAGATAGCTCAGTGGACTAAGCGCCTACTTAGGCACGCTCAGGGACCAGGGTCCATCCCTGGCACCACATGCCGTGCCAGCCCCATTCCCAGGTGTGCAGAGCTGGCCCCAGAGTCCAGGTGTGGTGCACGCCTGTAATCCCAGTGCTGGAGAAGCTGAAAACAGGAGGATTACTACAAATCCAAGCTGTGTAGTGAGACCCTGTACCAAATACATAAAAAATGAATAACGTTAGTTACATGATTTAAAGTATAGTGATGAGAAGAAATGTGTTTGAGAAGTTATTGATTATGGTTACAGCATGTGGGGTTCTACATGTAGGTATTTTTTATTTAAATTATAAATCGCATGTGAATTCAATAGTCTGTCCTTTAAGCTACTTTCAAAATTCTAAAATCCAGCTACATGTATTATTAACATAACCTATTATTACATGTGGTAGGTAAATACAAAGACTCGGGCTCAGGAAATGGAAAAGGACCAACTGGCCCAGCTTTTGGATGAAAAAGATTTGCTTCAGAAAGTACAGGATGAGAAAATTCACAACCTAACAAGGATGCTGGTGACCTCGTCTTCCCTCACATCACAGCAGGAATTCAAGGTAAAACGTAGGGGATGGGAGCTTACAGCGAGCAGAACAGGCCGGCCGAGGTTGATTGTGTGCTTTAGCTTCTTATCCCTGAACACAGGAGAGTCCGGAAGCCCTGAATGTGCTGTGTGTATTGCTAGCCCGGGAGGTTAAGAAACAGGAGAAAGCGGGGCAGTCAGGGTGAGGAAGGAGTGAGTGGGTCGCGAGGCAGAGCCCCGTGAGCAGTTGGGAGTTTGTCTTTTTCAGAAGGCAGGAGCACGCAGACTTGAGCATGAAGCTGAGAGGAGGGAGCAGCAGGAAGGATAGACGGGCAGATACCCGGGGCCACACGCCCCAGAGAGGGCAGCAGGGTCAGAGCAAGCACATGGTGGGCTCTGGCTTCCCAAGCTCAGGGACTGGCATCCGGGAGCCTGAGAAAGAAAGAGTGACTCCCAAGGGAGTCACACGGGCGACCTGAATGCTGCTTCCTGGCTGCTCCTTCCCAGCTACAGCTAGGTGCCCAGGGGTGGGGCAGGGTAAGTGATCCTGAAGGGCTGTGAGTTGACAAGTGCCCCTTGGATGAGTCCTAGAAACTCCTAATGTAGCGGCTGAGGGTACAGCTCAGTGACAGCGTGCTTATTCAGCCTGCAGAGGCCCTGGGCTTACTTCCCAGCACCAAAAACAAAAAGAAGAGAGGATGTAGCTTCATCAGATGTATCATAATAAATTATGATGTATTAAACAGCCTGAATAATGTAACTGTCTCAGAATGTCCTTCAGGTAGTAAGATAATCAGTGGTTTCAAAACTAGTAACTAGTTTCCTGTTTTATGTCAGAACTCCAGTGTACATAAAGTAATTTTGTTTCTGCTTTTTAGGCAAAAAGAAGGCGAAGAGTTACTTGGTGCTTTGGCAAAATTAACAAAATGAAGGATTCAAACTATGTAAAGGAATTTAGTATGCCCGCAACTGTGACAACAAGGACATCCAGGAGCGCTGTCACTCCCTTAGGGGAAATTGACGAGTGTGAGTGCCTGTCTGCATTTGGTGATGCACACTTCGCTACAAGCCAGGCTACGAACGCAGTATGATAAATAGGTTGAAATAAAATGTATTTAATTTTACAGTAGATTACAATGGAAATTATGATTTAAAAATAAGTAATTTTTAAAAAGTAAACTTTCATGAAATTTTCTACAAATTCTGCATCTCAGGAATGATACAGTAGTTGAATCCAAAAGATACTTTTATTTATTGTTGTTCTGGGTATTCATTTAAATTAGTATTCATATAACATCTGCCTTAAACTTTACCAGTCTTTACTTTTTTATTTTCTTTTTTATGTGTTTAGTACAGGATCTTACTACACAGATCAGACTTGTAGTGATCCTTTCTGTTTTTCAGCCTCCTAATTATAGGCATGGACCACCACTCCCAGTCTCCATCAATGTCTCAGTATGTCCCGGGGATGGGGCCAACATGGCATGTGGTGCTGGGGATCGAACCCCAGCCTCTGCACTTTGCCTAAGCAGGAGCTTTAGTCCACTGAGCTATCTTGAAAGGATGGCATTTATGTGGAAATCTGTTTCAAAATTATACCTCAATATCTTATAGCCTGTAGTTTGATTTTAGGCACATTTTTAAAAATACTTGGGGGCCAGGGAATGGCTCAGTGGAATAAACGCTTTCCTGGCAAGCGCAAGGGCCTGAGTTCAATCCCTGGTTCCGCCAAAAAAAAAAAAATACTTACAGTGATCAAATTTCCAACTCAGGTTCTGGGGAGATAGCTCAGTGGAATAGGCACTTGTCTGGCAAGCGAAAGGTCCTGAGTTCAATCCCCAGTACCGCAAAAAAAAAAAAAAAATTCCAACTCAGAATTTGTCTTTTTTACCTGTATGTGATAAGGAGCCCATGTTTCATCACTAACCCCAACCAGCTGCCTTAGTTCACACAGTGCTGTGAACACTCACCTCTGCTAATGTGTGTTTTTGGCATTCACCCCTGAGGACACACTCAGCTTATTATTTATTACCTCTGTCACACTTTTTTAATAGTGTTTAATTTGACCTTTAGGGAACATTATGCATGTTAGCATCACATTTCTTTTTCCCCTCATTGTAGCTTTCTGTTTGGAGTCTGATACCTTCAGCAATACTCTTGATACATTAACGGAGATAGAGTGGAATTCAGCCACAAAGCTACTAACTGAGGTAATGCGTCTTACAGAACATGACCTTGTGGTTTTTGTGGTTGTAGCTTGTCACCAGCTCTGACTTAGCATCAGAGACAGTTTGGATTCTAATGAGGATTTCCCCACTTCTTTTAACTTCTACTTGAAAACTGAGGCATTTAGATGGAGGCTAAAATGTTCTTAAGGCAGGTGTGTGCTCATCTATCTGGTTTGTTTTGGGAAATCCCATGGAGGTACAAGATTAATTTAAAAGCACCAGTATTCTCAGGCATAAGTATAAGAGTGATACGTCAGAGGAGGAAAATGTTGCCAGATGATACTGAGAAAGGTACCATTCATTGACCCTCTGCCTCCTTAGGCCTCGGGCTCTGTGACCCCCACAGATACCCAGGCCATAGATGCCCAATCCCTGCTTAAAAGGCATGGCTCACACTTGCACATAATTAGGCCATCTCTAGTGGTGACCCCTAACGGTAGAAATGCCACGACGCAGTACATACTACACTGCATTCTGAGGAGAACAGTGACGGGAAGAAAGGAGTACATACAAGTACTGATGCAACCATGGGCTGCCCGCACTTTTTCTGAGCTCTGTTGAATCCACGCAGGAGGAGCCTGCAGGGTCCCTCAGCCAGAAAAAACGGTGCTGTGGTGAGTGAGCACTGCTGTCAGCTTCCAGAATGCTCATGTGAAGGCGAGCCGTGTTCTTGTGCTCATGTGTCTGCTAAAGACACTGTCGTTTTAATTTGGAATACAGTTATACTTGCTGGTAATTATTATCAGTGGTTATTGTAAACAAAGTGCTTTTGTATCCTTGACACATATTTTAGGAGTTTGCTGTCTTTTTTTTTATTCCCATTTTAAGCTGTGTTTGTTTTTTTAAATCTCTTTGCCATAATGGTATAGTTAAACTTACCATCATTAGAGATTGAAAGGATAGCCACACTGTTTCCTTTTTGAGTTGAACCATCTGAAGAATAGCAGTAAAATGTGTGAGCCATTAAATCAGCAGCTTTAATACTTAGGCACTGCACGATTTGTGGTCAGGTGGGCAATGTTCATCTTCACACTTGAACTTGCCCTGAAGGCAGAAGCAGACCTAGAATTAATCTATCTTTGTTCTACTGCTTCCAAAGTATAAACATCTGTTTTGTTTTGTTTTGTTTTTAACATCTGTTCTAAGTAAGCTAGTTTTCCAAAATATAGACTGTTAGAATTGAAGGTGGGAAACTACCAGTGGTTCAAAGGTACATGAATTGTTCACCTTATTAAAGAAGTAAAGACTGTGGTTTGAGTCCCTTCTAATAGGGAAATTTGTTTTTGTTTATAATAGGAAAATGTAGAAAGTGAGTTCAACTCACTTCGTGCTAAGTACGATAATCTGGTACTAGACTATGAACAACTAAGAAGAGAAAATGAAGAAATGGGATTAAAATTAAAAGAAAAAAATGACTTGGATGAATTTGAGGCTCTAGAAAGAAAAACTGAAAAAGATCAAGAGGTAAGACAAGTAGAGATGTCAAATTAAACTAAGTCCATGCATTAAAAAGAGATACCATTCTCTGAAAAATTTTTATTTCTAAAATTGAGGCAATAAGGATTGACCATTTTTTATACATATGCGCAATGTAGAGAAATTAAGAAATACAGTATTTAGCTTGTATTGTTTTTAAAACAGTTAAGTCACATTGGCTTCCTTCATGCCTACTAGAAGAAGAAATTGAAAACATCTATGTGGGGGCTTTGTGGATCTCCTGGCTTTGTCCTGAGGAAACAGCCGTTCCCTGCTGAGACAGCTACAGATGCTGACATAGATCTGGTTGACTGTTTGATGTATGGATACCATGGGTTAATGAATTTTCTCTAGCCAGTATACCTGTTCTTAAGTAATTAAAATGTTAGAGTAGCTAGAGAAACTGATTAATGAATGAAACCATTAGACCATAGGCCCTCAAAATTGCCCGAAGATTTCAGGACCTCCATAGTGGAATATCTTAGCACCCACAGACACTATAAAGTTATTTTGCAGATTTTTTTTTTTTTTCCAAAGGGTCATTCAAAGTTTTACTGGACTAAGACTAGAGTCAACCACCTGACAGGTCTATAAGCTTCCCATTCTGTGCCTACAATAACCCTGGCTATCCCACTCCATTTGCTTTGTTAGGTCTTCCATAATGTAATAATTAACTGTTAGGTACATTTGAGTAAGAATGCTCAGTTGTTTGGATTAGTATAATTCTCTGGTTGAAAGGATTTACTGAAGATAGAAGACCCACCCAGAGTGTGAGTAGCACCAATCAGTAAGCTTGTAGCCTGTGTGGAATGAAAAGGGGAACAAAGAAAAAAGGCTCACTTGTTTCTTCAGAGGAACTCTGGTCTTTACTTTCACCTTGGACATCCAGAAACTTACTCCTTGCAGGGCACTCACACCCTTATGGCGCAGATCCTGTGACCTGATAAGGACTTGTACAAGACACTGTAGTGGACTGTCAGTCCTCCCATAGTCATTTTGTCAGCTTCTGCCACCAATAAAGCCATAGCTGCAAGGGCTCACAGACGAGAGTAATGAGCCCTGAACTGAAATTGCTTGGAGAGTTATGCTACCTGCCAGTGCCATGACCCCAGGACCTGGGTTAAAACTTCCAGTGCTATGCCAGTGCACTTTTAGACATATAATATAAAGGCTTAGTCATGTCCAGAAATCCCAGGTTTGGTGTGTTGGTGAGGGCTTGATCTCTTCAAAAGCTTTTTGCTGTACTTGCTCCCATGACAGAGGTTCTTGTTCTCTCCCCTTTGTGGCTTCACAAAGGGGTCTTGCCAGGACCATGAAGTTAGGTATCCAGATTCTACAGAAACCTATGACTCCAAGGAATGCCTGGACTTAGCATTGGGTCATTAGAACTGGAATTGAGCAAACTCCCAGCTATCTCCCAGATCCAAATTGTCACTGTCCCTGTGACAGATGAAAATAGAGGTATCTGACTTGCTCTTGGAAACTTTAGTCTTTTTCGCTGCCCTCCCACATTTAATTGGACCTTAGGCTCTTAGGAGCCTAACAAAATAGATCCCAATCTGGCCTAGATCTCATATTCTGCAATGCCAGTCAGTCCTACAAAATTGTCCTACTGGGCCCCACATGCCCTCTGAGCTGCCTGGTATCTGCTCTGGACTACTTGATCTCTGCCCTCTTATTCAGGAAAAAGGGGAGCTTTTTCTAGCCATTAGGGACATTCGTTCTTCCAGTGTCCCTTCCTGTATTAGTGGACATACTACTTCCAGTTTAGTTTCCTCTCCAGGCACAGTGGCCCCTTCTTTCAGCTTTCCGATCAGCCTCCTTGGTTGCTTTGCTCTTTGCCCTTGGAAGTGTTCTCATGGGGATGTCCCGATCATTCTGCCAGGATGGCTGTCAGCATGTCTGCCTTTTTCTTCATTGCTATTTTTCCTGTGAAGCCTCCTGATTTCAGGTTACAAATACCTATATGGCAACCTCCAACAGTTGGTTGATGTTCATTTCCACAAAAGCCTCCAGCTTCTGGAGCTTGCTCCAGATATCTCCCTGAGCTTTGCTAATAAATGCCACATTTCTCATCTGTTGGTTCTCAGCCACTGCAGGGCCTAAGGGAGTATACAGATAGAGCATCTCATACAGCCTCTCCTATGACTGGCTTGGGCTTTCTTCTGACCCCTGAAGTACCTCAGATCTTGCATGAGTTCATGGCCCTTTTTTCTCTGGCTTTCAAGCTGTTTAGGTGGGCCTCTTGGTACCATTCAATCAGGGTGCGTCCTCTTCTGCATTCAAGTCCTACTAGGGATCTTCTCCTGGAAAACAGTCATGGGCATAAGTTGAGGCTTAGGGTCCAGCATTTCAGCTGGGGCATTTTCTTCCGACATCATAGGGCAGGCTGAGTAATGATGATGCTCCTCAGTACTGAACAGAAGGAACTGCCAGTCCATGTGGGCTAGTGAGTCTGGACAATGAGCTGCATCAAGGCAATCATTGTCTGGGGTTTCTCTTCATACAAAGGAATATGATTCTTCAAGTTAAGAAGGTTGGTAGTGAAGGGTTGGTATACTAACACTCATTCTCTTCCCTGGATTTATCCCATCTTATTCACATGTAAACACTCAAGGACTCCAACCCGCTTCCTAGCATCCAGAACCCAAAGCCTTAGAGTTGTAGTTTCAGGGTGTTTTTTTTTTAAAGAGGAAAAAAAACAACAACAAAAACAATGATACACGGGGCTGGTGAGATGGCTCAGTGGTCTAAAGCACCTACTTAGAACAAGCTAAGCTAAGCAAAACACAGGGACCGCGGTTCAATCCCCCAGCACCACATGCCAGCCAGCCCTGCCCCCTGGTGGGCTGAGCTGGACACACACACACAAAAAAAAATAAATAAATAAATAAATAAATAAATAAAACAATGATACAGAATTTCAAAACAATATAGTAGGAAATTAACAATGGTTAATAGAGTGTGAAAAAAAATAGAGTGTGTATTGTTATATTCAAAGTAGTTGCTCCGATTACATATTTTGCAGAATTTGTGAGTACCTATTCATCCGGAACAAGAATCAACAGGTATTATCAGACTTGCAAAGCTGTCTCTAACTCTCCATAAAATAAGAGCCTGTGTTTGGATGTAGAAGTATGACTTAGGGTGGAGCTGCTCCCAGGGATGTGATTCTTAGTGGGCTTTTGTCAGGGAAGTTGGGTTAAGTCTTAGAGCATGGTATCTTGGATGACAGTGCCAGATTTAAGCCCAGATTTGGAACTTAAAAGCCTACATTTTTGAAGAAAATTTGACAGAAAGCCAAATTATGGTTTGGAGACAGGTGTTCATTTCCCTGGTTTTCCTAAAGGTTTTATGAAAAGTCATAGATAATTTTCAAGTGAGTGCAAACTTAGTGATAGAGTTTGCTTAAATAATAAATTTTAGAGGAATTTTTTTAAAAGTATGATAACACTTGAACAATAAAAGAAAAATCTTACCCATTTTTTAACTTGATTTGTTTAATTTTATAATTTTCATAAGTTGGAAATGTTTAGATGTTTGTCTTATAAAGTTTAATAATTCATTTTACCTGAAATATTTAATATTATGTCACAGTGGATTAACTGCTAATCTAATCATATTTAAATCATATTTGCTTCTCACACATTTTGCTTGAATGCTTGACTGGCCTTAAACAGCATGACATTTGGACCTTCCACTTTCACTGATTATTTGTTTCTTCATGGTAAATGTGATTTGTTTTTTTCTTTCTACATGACAGTCAAAAATGGACAGGGACTTAAAAAGATGAAGTTTTTAAGACTAAAAATTTTAAGCTACACATGTGGCTCATATATTTCTGTTTTCAGCACTGACCTAACATTGGAATGTCAACTCTAGCACTAGTCTGAAATCTAAAAGTAGTCAAACTAGTTAAGCATCCAGAAAATACTGCCTGACAAGTTACTATTTTCTTGAGTCTCTACGTTCCACTGGAATTGACATCTATTTATTAAGTGCTCATCTGACTGTGACCTTTCAATAATTCTAAGGAAAATGTGCTTCTTGGTCAGTTATAGTTTTCCTGTTTTGAACACAGAATTTTCTAGTGCTCAAAAATTTATTGCTACAGATAATTTGGGAGAAGGGAAACATCAATAGAAATACTGACACCTTCATACTTTTAGATAGTTAAACAATATAAAGCAATAACATGATAAGTCCAGTATTTTCTGTAGAATAGATCAAGGTAATAGTTGGTAATCCCATAACTTTGTAGTTTGGTTAACTAGTGTTATGATAGATATCAACCACCCAACTTTAATCCAAACCTACATTCCAAATCATAGCTCATTTAAAAAGCTGTCAGTGGCCAGGGATATAGCTCAGTGGTGTAAGCGCCTGCCTGGCAAGTGCAAGGTCCTGAGTTTGATCCCTGGTTCTGCCAAAAAATAATAAATAAAAAGCTGTCAGTGTATAGCCAAATGAACAATTTATGGTAATAAAAAAAGAGAAATCTCAGCATACATGATGGCATATACCTGTAATCCCAGCATTCTAGGGGCTGAGGCAGGAGGATGTCAGGTACAAGCTGAACCTGGGCAATTTAGTGAGACTTTGTCTCAAAAAGAAGGCGGAGGAAAAAAAAAAAAAAGCGTAGGGGTGTGGCTCAGGGCAAAAACCCTGTGATTAATCCCCAGTACTAAAACAAAATGTGTTCTAGGATGAACATATATCTGATTGCCACTCTACTAGCTTCCCTAATTGGTGATTACTAATTTACTAATGGTGTCATGGTAGCTAATGAAATAGATTGTATCATTTTTATTGGGGTCGTGCTGAGATGCTGTCCCTGTTCGCTGGTGCTGTGGGTCTGGACCATATTTCTTAGAACTTTAAATACTGAGGCTCTGTTGTGATAACTTGAACAATTGGCCTCCCCCTCTACTTCTGTCGGGTGAATCTGAAGCTTTTGCTTTATTAACTGTCGGCTTCCTCTGGTGCCTGTTCACATGCTCTTACAGATGCAACTAATTCACGAAATCACCAACCTAAAGAATTTAGTTAAGCATGCAGAAGTTTATAATCAGGACCTCGAGGTAAGCATTCATGTTGATGTTTTTATTGATAATGAAAACTGTAAAACCCACATGACATTGAACATGATGACTGAAAATAAAAGAATTATTCGTTAAGTACTCATGCTTCAATTTTACTATCAGCTTAAACTTTTTGATCCTGTCAAATCCAAATCAAATACTAAAATCTGTTTCATTCTTCTGGATTCTTTTAGAATGAACTAAGCTCAAAAGTAGAACTGCTCAGAGAGAAAGAAGCTGAAATTAAGAATCTGCAGAAATGTGTAGACTCCCAGAAGTCAGAGAACGCGCCATCAGACTCACCATTCTCATCGGTAAAGACCAGGCTCCCATTTCTGTGTGGTCCTTTTGACATCTCGAGTTTGCTGCAGTCATGGGCGCTGACATTGGGCCAACTGTGCAGTGCGTAGCTGTCACTACTGTGTTCATATTTCATCTGTCAGCTTTGCAACAAAAGGACCATTCAGATCATTGCCACTTCACAAATAAATGTCCATAGGAAGTTGAGTGTGTCATTCTTTGATTAAATGTAAGGAAGTTAAGGACAAGCTTCCAGTACCACAAAATAGATAAATAGTTGAAAAAGCTTCTCATGTTTTCAGTTTTTATACAAATATTTATTGAATTGTATGTTAAAGATCTTAAGGTCCATTTGTGTTGGAATTGATAAGTATAGATAAGGATGAGGTGTAGATCATCAATAGTTTATCATGACTTAATCTCATTTCATTGATAGATATCAAGTATTCCCACTATAATACAAGTACTGTTTTGTTGGCTAATTTTTTATTAAAGGGTAACAGATTTCTTACAGTATTTGCATACCTTGGTGTTGGTACAGAGTGTTTGGTTTTTGTTTTATGTCATTTTGCTTTGTTTTGGTGGCTCGGGTTGAGCCCAGAATCTTGCACACGATAGGTGAGCATTCTGCTGCTGACCAGCATATTTTAAATTTTCATTATGGAAAATACCATTCCTTTTCATTTGTGTGATCATTAGCATATGCGCATCCTTGTGGATAGATAGGAATAATGCCTGCGTATGTGTTTCTAATTTACTGAAATCTGCTAAAATTGGTCTTTTGTTGTCTGTCTAGGAAAATAATGATGACCTAAAACAAATGAAACAGTCTTTGTTTGATGCTGAGACTGTAGCCCTTGATGCCAAGAGAGAATCAGCCTTTCTTCGGAGTGAGAATCTAGAGCTGAAAGAGAAAATGGTAAGAAAAGTTCTAAAAGTCTGTAACAAAGCTGTGAAAATGATCAGTGCGTTCTTGTGACTTTTCAGTGTTTCTCTTTAATAGAAAGAACTTGCAAATGCTTGCAAACAAATGGAAATTGATACCCAGTTATATCAAAGCCAGTTGGAGGCAAAAAAGAAAATACAAGTTGATCTGGAGAAAGAATTACAATCTGCCTTTAATGAAATAACAAACCTCACCTCCCTTGTAAATGGCAAACTTCCAAAAGGTATTTTATAATTTCAGACATCTCTTTGAAAATCTGATTTTCTCTAAAAATGTGTCCAAATGATTTGGTAACTGTCTGATAAGTAAAAAACCAATAGACTGTTTTCTTTGATAACTTAATATTCAATTATAATATCGTTTGGTAGCCAGTGTTTATAAACACTTCCAGGAGGTTCAAATCATCATAGCTTTAAATGATTTTTCAAATATGTTGATCCTGATTTTGAGAGTTGGTTCAAGAGCTATTAAAAGTCAGATTACCTGGGGTAGAGAGATAGCTCAGTGGAATAAGTGCTTGCCTGGCAAGCACAAGGTCCTGACTTCAATCCCTGAGATCACCAAAAAAACCAAATAAATAAATAAAATAAAATTCGTCATATACCTCGGTAGTGTCCCAAATTTTCTGATCAAGAAGATTATGGGGCCAAAGAGGAAAGTGATCGATGACGTAGAGTGTGCCTAAGGAGAGTCACATGGG